TATCGAGACACCGGCGTATTCAGGCTGCGCGGGTGACGAAACGGGATGATTTACTTTGCTCGACGATGCGAACGATGTACCTTTGTGACGTCAGAGCGCGTGTTCGATAACCTGGTACCGACGTGACTTACATATGTATACGGGTACACACGCGCGCACGCGAGCTCGTGTTCGTGAATGAGCTAGACAGAGAGGCAGAAGAGCGACCGGGGGAAAGAGAGAGAGAGATAGACTGTACGTGTATGCGCGTGTCTCCGTCGTGTGTGTGTACACCGACGAGAGGTAGAAGGGAGAGACGAGCGTGGTTCGTTCGGATCGGGATCGTACTGCTCGAAAGCATTTCAAAAGACAACGACGATCACGATTATCGGGAATCTGAACCGTTAAAACTGATCGGAAGAGCGGCGGCAGCGTGTAAGGCGATCCATTAGAAACGCGAATGATCCGATCATTATTCTACATAGAATAATGGCGCATCCAGGGGGGTGAAGCTGCTGCTCGCCGCGACCCGTTTCGAGCAGTCGCGATTCTTACGGTCCGACTCGACGAAGGTTACCGTTACGATTCGCCGACCGCGCGAGCCGGTCGTATCGTGTGTCCCGGAGTGCATGCACTACTAATCATATGCGAAGGAGACGTATCGGTTCCACTTCAAGGAGCATCGACGACCTTGATCACTCCGGGGGGAAAAAATAGCTCCTAGATCTTCGTCCGGCTGGTGCCGCGTAGGATCGGGACGCCACGAGTCGGCCGGTTCTATTTCACCCGTTAAGGCACTGTCGACCAACGTTCCTTTTTCTGCCGTGCCCGATATTGGAAATGCGCGATGGAATAATGAAACGGTGTATGTTTTGTAGCGTGAATTTATTATAAGGGCGTCGAGGAACGTGTCTGGCTCTTTTAAGCTCTTCAATGCGAATTACTTGAATTCCTGAAAGTCGGCGTTCGATTTTCTTTAGATTTATGGCCTTGCCTGGGGAAAAGTCTCTTGACATTTTGTGGTAGAATCCAGATATGGCTGCCTTTGGACTAAAGACGTTGGGCATTTTTGATCTTGCTGGCTTAGCATAAAGTAATAATTCAACACCCACCTTTCTAAAATTCTGAAATTTTAAATGTCTTCATATATTTCATAATGCTTATGCAAAAATATTGTAATGTTGAAAATTATATATATATGTTACATAGGGGGCATAAGAACTTTAGAAAGGCTTAGGTGAGGCATGGCGCAAAAAAGGTTGGAAAACAGTAACAGATTATTCTGTTTCTTCAGATGTTCATTACAGCATTCAAATGACACTATTTATTTTCAAGATCACTGAACACTGAATGCTCTTAACACTAGAACCACCGAGCATTTAATACGATTAATATGCAATTATTAAAAATTGTAACAATAGATTATTTTCAATTTCTTCAGACATTCATTATAGTATTGAAATGAAACTATTTTCAAAAGCATTTCGAATATTCAATGCTTTAGAGATATCAATAATTGTTAAAAAAATCGAAACCAGTTATTTTGAGTGGTATGGTAGTTCTAGTGTTACTTAGCCAACCGAATGGACTTTTATTCTGTTTATTTTTTCTTTTGTCGTTTAGTAAGTCTTGAAGTTGTATTATTCGCAATTCATCAAATACGGTTCTTATTTTTACAAAACAAAGTTTTTAACACTAGGTTTACGGAACGCGTCAATTTGACGCAGATTGAATTTTATAAACATTATTTGGTCAATGTTTCAATCGGTTTTCGTTGTCTATTTCTACATCTACAATTTCCAAAATCTAAACGAACGAATATCAACTTCCCCAGGAATAGAATAAACTGTACAATAAATGTCCGTAAACCTAGTATTAACCAAATCAATTGAATATTAATTAATTCTTTTTAGGCGGTCGCCTAAGTGTTAAGGTATCAACAACTGCGACACAGAAGAATCGAAACTAGTCCATAGTTCTAGTGTTAAAGATAGACGATCAGGTAACACGGCGAGATTGCATCGATCAGAGCCAAGTTAAGTGTTTACCGAACAATGTTTATAAAATCCAGTATGCGTCAGACCGCCGCGTTCCGTAAGCCTAGCGTTAAATTAGAAGAGGGATCGACGCGAAGAAATTGGAGGGTGCAGTTTCCTCGAGGGTCGGCAACTAGGACTGGGTTCAACGGTTGCGTCTCTGCGTCGAGCGGCGTGAATCCGCGAGCGAGCTTCGCGTCTGCGGAATCTGTCCATTGAAACACGCTGGAAGTCGCGTTACCGAAAACACCGCGTAAACTAGAGTAATATCCGCGGGACGCGCGATTTACGGTGTCTCTCGGAGCACGCGGGAGCCATTGCTACGCTCGGCGGAGCCGTAAAAAAGCCGACGAGGAAAGTTTCCGCGGACACGTGCCGCGTTTGAACTTGCTCCGGTGAGATCTTCGCGGTCTACTTCTGGAGTTAGATGAATTATGTCGGCACGATTGATTCTACCAAACGCATTCTACCAAATATAGCAACCGATAAGCCCTCGGAAGTGTCGAACGGTCGTGAAGCGGTGTGAAGTGACGTAGAATGGAATTTTAGCTGCGACTATTAAAAGCTTCTGAATTTTAGTTTCGATATTTTTGTTTAGCTATTGGTATCTTCGCAGCGTTGAATATTCGAAATGATTTTGGAATAGTTTCACTAGAGTATGAGTGTCTGAAGAAACCGGAAATAATCTGTTTCAATATTCGTAGCCGTTACATTTC